TTGCCATTATTACTAGCTTTGTGTCTTCCAAACACTTTCCCGCTTATCTGTGGTGAAAATGAATGGGAGAAGTGTTGGAGAGCACTGCAGTGAGACATAGCCGCACTGAACAATCAAGTCACTAATATGCTCTACAGGATTATGGGTGCTATCCACTCAACAATTAAAGACCAAATTGTTTACTATATACAAAAAGACTTTATCCTTTTAACCAATTTGTTTGTAAGAGCTTTCTCTTTCAGCAGCGGAGTACTAACAGATTCAGTAAGGTGCTCTCTCAAATATTAACAGCAGTTACACATTTATGCAGCTGTAATTAAGGCTGAGTTGAAGTTTCCAAAATGCATCCCTTGAGAGTCCTTATGACTCAGACTTAGTGCATTTTCCTCTGGTCTAAAGTTAGGCATTCAAGGTCTCAACTTGGAACACTTTTATTTTTGCTTTCCTAAGAGTACGGAAAATTTGGTCCAGCCATTTTAAAATTATAGCTGCGAAAAAAATAAAATAAATAGAGCTATTGCCTTAGATTGGGATGCTTTCATGTACTCGAACCCAGCTTCCATTTAAAGAAAAAAATGTTGGCGAGCTGCAAGTCCATAATAAGTTGGTATTTTGGAGAAAGGAAATTTAAAATGGGCCTTTGAAGAACATTTAAATACATATTTACTCACGAATCCAAAGTGGCTCAGGAGAAGGAACTATTCTAGTTTGTTGGATAGTGCTACGGGTTTACAGCTGCCTGGAATATATGTTTACCTGACAGAATGTTCTTGTCTCTTAGAAAATAATTTATAGTGTATGCGTGGTTTTACTTATATAAAGGAAAATATCGTCACAATATATTTTAACTAACCTGAAAAAGCAAGGTCCTTAATCCTTTCTTTTCTTATTGGGGGGGTCTTGCCATGCTACAGTGTGAGTTAATGCAAGGACAGTGAATCAGAGTTTATAAATGAGTGGTAAGAACTGGAATTATAATCATTAGAAAAAGAGAAAAACAAAAAGGGACATGACAGATGTTTTGAAATATTGAAGGTCAAAGAGAATATAGGTGCCAAAAACCTTTCCAAAAGTAATGGGTTGAAAATCAAGACGTGAAACGAAGAAAAGATCAAAAAGGAAGGAAGTTTATATTTCCAGACTTTGTCCAAAACCCACTGAAGTCAACGGGAGTCTTTTCTACTGTCTTCAGTGGCCTCTGCATCAATCTCTCTCTGGACAACAGATAATTAGGTCCTGATTCAGCAAAACTCTTAAGCGAATGATTAACTCCCATTGAGGTAAATGTGATTTAAGCATCTGTTTAAAATTAAGCACAAGATTACGAGCTCTGCTGAATTGGAGCCTTAAATGCTAAATGCAGGCAGATTAGATTCATGTCGTTTCCACTTCAGGAAAACAGTCTTTACATTCTAGTCTACTCTAGAAAAATTACCTATTGCTGCCAATGGGTGTTAAACCACATAAAGCAGAAACCATTGTTAACTGCAAGCATAGATGAGGCTAGATCATGCTCAGCACCATTACAAAAAACTGGGATTAAAAATTAATCTGTGCAGATGTCTTTTAAACAAATGGAATTTAATTTCCAAATTAGGTAAGGTATGGCCAGGTGAAAATTGTGAAACATTAAAGGGCAAGACTATACAGGTAGCAAAGACATCTATATTAAACATTTAAAGTTATGTATAGGCACCTAAATCAGTTACCTGCTTTTTTCAAAAGTGCTGAGAGCACAGAAGCTCCTACCTAAGTCAAATAGAATGGCTAGGTCAGGGGTCGGCAAGTGGTGTGCCGAGTCTTCATTTATTCACTCTGATTTAAGGTTTTGCATGCCAGTAATACATTTTAACGTTTTTAGAAGGTCTTTTTCTATAAGTCTATAATATATAACTAAACTATTGTTGTATGTAAAGTAAATAAAGTTTTTAAAATGTTTAAGAAGCTTCCTTTAAAATTAAATTAAAATGCAGAGGCCCCTGGACCGGTGGCCAGGACCCTGGCAGTGTGAGTGCCACTAAAAATCAGCTCGCGTGCCACCTTTGGCACGCGTGCCATAGGTTATCTACCCCTGGGCTAGGTACTTGGCATTTTTGAAAATCAGGCCACCAATTTAGGTGCCTACATATTGCTTTGGGAGCTTAACTTTACATGATCATTTTTGAAAGTCTTGTCTAGAAGCTGTAATCATGAACACCGTCAAACAAGTTAGACAAATCATTTTTATGGTCTAATAACTCCACTGAAGCCATTTATATATTAGATTAACACATTTCTGATTTCCAGCAGTCTAGGTTGGATCACAATCAGGCCATTAAGATCCAACTTTACCTTTTGATGTTAGCACAGATTTCCTCCTGACTGCAAGGAGAGCTGTTATACACCAACACATCAAAGGGTGGGAGCTCAAGATGGGAGGCAGGGGGAACTTTGGAAAAAGAAAATGCTAGATGGATAGGCAATTGGCCTAGATGTTTGAGTCCTTCAACCCCAAACTGGTATTGTTGTGCATGCAAGCCTTTGCTTCCAATTTTCTGGTTTGTCAGTTTGATACAGCACTAATGTTATTTGAACCAGGCTCTTTAATAAATTATAAATCTGTGAACATAGGTGAAGTCCTAAAGCACAGTGTTTTCGGTTCTTATCTATTACAGCACATTTGCTGAATTTTACTCCTTCCAGCTCCAGTGGCTCAAAAAGAAAACAGGAAAGCATTCTTTGTTTCAATAATACATGGAAAAATGAGCTGAAACTATGATATTTGTGAGACATGAGAGCATACATCTTAGATTGCTATTATTATCCAATGCTGGGATCATAGTCCTGGAACATATGCTTAAAATATTGCTAACCCCCTCATGAATATAATTTCAGTAGAAACGTGGTAATCTGTTGAAACAAATCTACACAGAACATTATGGTATAATTGAAGTTGTTTAATTGCCTGTTATATCCTTTAACTGATCCCTCGAAACACTGTTATTAGTATTTAATGTAACATTTCTGTAATAAAAAAAGATGAATTTATTGGGTGAGAGGACAATCTTCCCTTTCATGAAATAAACTGGCAGATGGAAATATGAAATAAAGTACCTCGAGCCAGCTTTTGCTATACCTGCACATAATCTCACTTACTCTGAGCCATTAAAAATGTGTTTCTTTGGAACTATTACAGTCTGTTGAAGGATCTGCTCCTCCTCCAGTTCCACAGTGATACAGATGCTCTGCAACTCTAATATATTGTATTGACCTCCAATGAAAAAGGGTGGTGGTAAGGGAGAATGTACCTTCTCATGTTAAGATAAATTAAAATGTTTAATAAGTATGAGAAGGCAAAGTGGGAGTTCCTCACATCACTCTGGCTGGTGCCTTTTATATATGCCTAGAAAGAGCTTTGACAGTATTATGTAAATACATATAGCGTCTGTATTGTGATGCACATGGGATAAACTGCAGAGCCACATGATAAATTATCATGCACATTTCAACCATCTCACCTAGCCTCTGCCCCAACAATCCATTTCCTTGGCATTTATTCTAGCATTCCAGCCCTCTGAGCAGCTTCAAACAGCATCCTGCTAGAGACCTATTTCCTCCTCCTCCAAATGTGGAATTTCAACCCTACCCTCAGATTACACCTGCCCATGCCCCATGGTAGACAAGAGTCAATCCTGACTCAGTAACTGTTTTTCTCTACAGAAAAAAAAAATCTTGACTGCTTTAAAATCCATTATTTCAAACCATAAAGGGAAGGAAACAGGAGATTTAGGCCAGTAGAAATTCTCCATTTGCTATTGGCACCCAGCACTCCCCTCTAGCCTTGAAATGGCCCAAACATTGGACTTTAAAGTTCTGACCTCCCTCTTTTTTTTTTTAAAGCTACATTAAGAGCTTTTATGGTTCCCTCTGAGCCCTGCACAGTTAGACTAATAGTTAAGGCCCTGAACTGCAAACACTGACACATAACCTTAACTTAATCTGAGTGAGTAGTTCCACTGAAGTCAATGGGACTACTCAGGTGCTCATGCATGAGACCTACCCCGGTCTCAGAGCCCAAGCATCTACACTGCAATTTTATAGCCCTGCTGTTCTAGACCCGTGACCCCAAGTCAGCTGACTCAGGCCAGCTGCATCCATGCCCTGGGTCGTTTATTGTAGCGTAGACATATCCTGTGATTCTAATTGTTTGCAGGTCCTGGGCTTATGGCATCCAGCCTTATAGGCAAAGGGATACAAGAAATAATCTTAACTTTTAACTTTCTCTCAAATATCCTTCAAATAATATTTCGGTAATAGATGTGGCACACAGACTGTATGATGGTGTTGTATGGAAGTTTTACCAGCACTCATTTGGGATGAACTGTGTAACTCAGTTTTGGCTTCACTTCTTGTGAGTAATGTGGACACTGGTCACGCCGATAAAACCTTTACATCGCCATGTACACTCTCTATGCATGTGTCAATATTCTTCTGAGTAAATTTTGGATCCTCAAATGATAGATTACATAAAAGTCGATGTTCATTGCTAGGTCCTCATCACTAGTATTTTAGCAGGTGGTACTATTTGAATGCAAGAGTTTCCTGTGATTTCATCAAAACTCCAAAGCATGGCCAAAATATTTAGGTAAATTCAGCACCAGACGATTCACTGCCTCATACATTTATTCATTCATATAAAATAATACTAATAGTTATCCTTACTGCATGGTATCAAATGCTGTCAATGCGTATATTCAACTAGACTGCCCAAAATTACTTACCAAAACAACAAGTCGTTTAGAATCCAGTGCAACTGCTTTAGTGCTTGCTTATAGTACCGAGTGGCAGATGTTGTGATATGCTCGTTTCCAGCAGATTTTGAGGTGAGTTAGAGCACTCAGGAAACAGATGTTAATTGGGTGAAGTTCCATTATAGTACTAATTATTATTGCAAGTTCTTTTCACTCTCACTCTTTTTACTTATTGACTTCTGAGATCATCTCTCTCCTTTTCTGTGACAGCTTTTTTAAGACAAACATGCACTGCAGAAGGCTGGAAAGAGCTGAGCCAGGTTGAATTCCGAAGAAAATTCACAGCAAAGATTTGCAATGCCCGGCGGGATCTGAAAAATTCCATGCAAAAGTCCTCTTGAAAACACCCTACCTCTGAGGTCTATGGGACTTTGATATGTAACTCCAGATAATCTAATGAGAATCCTCTGACTGCATTTTCACATGGCATGTTAAGAAACTTGGTACTTCTGCTGAATAACTTGAAACAATTATGAAACAATCTAAGTGATTTTGGGGCCATCAGACTGCCTCAACGAAACTAACCATATCATTCTGCATATAGAGTGCCTCAAGCATGGATATGAATGAGGAGACTATGTATGAGAGAGAGAGAGGGTTTTTTTTTTTACCACCTACTGTTACATTTACTTTTTAAAGTGGTGTTGGGATAGTAAATTTGAACAAAAGCATTGAGTTTCTTTAGCTAGTTATTGTCATCCTGTACAATGCATTTTCTGTTGTGTCTGAGGATAACTTTGCATGATAGGGTGCCTTGTTCTTAGCACTTTGAGTGTTGGGGTTTTGCTCTGCAGTCCTGCAGCCTGTATATATTGCTCATGAAACTGGACTGTAACTGCAGACACCAATTACATGCTAGAAATCATCACCTGAGAAAATGAGCGATTCAAAATAAAATCTCTGTGATAAAACTTTACTGGTGAATGAGTAATATAAGTGAGTGCATGAAAATGGAACCCTCCTGGAAAGGCTGGGCAAAATGCACCTCGTGAGCTAATTATGCACAAAATGGCATTTATGAACACGGATTGTTCAATAGAAAATGGAACACTTGGCCACAACAAGTGGAAAGGTTAATGCTCAAGTCAAATCTAAGAGGAAATGGCATAATGAAACAACTGTTTGATCAAAGTTCTGCATTGTTTTAAGTTGTACATTCCCCAGCCGGGAATCTTAACCCAGACAGAGTCCAAACTACCCTGTGGTGGGGCAGCTCCCCCACCCCAGCAAAGAGGGGTTAAAAGCAACCGGGAAAGCTGGGTTGATTAAGGAAGCAGCCACAGCTGTGGTCAGCTGAATCTCTCTAGCCTTTGAGAGAGAAGGACCAGGCTGCCTGGGAGTTGAGCAGGGTACCTGAGGTGGAGCAGTGCTGGGGAAGGGCAGAGGGACCTGGGGGAGCTCCAGCCTAGCAAAGCCCCAGGCTGCAGGCCTTGTCAAAGGCCTACAAAAGGGTACTGGAGCTGCAAAGGTAGGGTGACCAGATGTCCCGGTTTTATAGGGACAGTCCTGATTTTTGGGTCTTTTTCTTATATAGGCTCCTATTATCCCTCACCCCCGTCCCGATTTTTCACACTTGCTGTCTGGTCACCCTATGCAAAGGGGCAGCCCCTAGTTAGGCAGAGGCAGCTGGTCCAACCTCCCTTGCTGATGATCAGTGGTTTACAGACTGCAGTTTGCCCCAGGGAGTGGGGGCTAGATGATGACTGGCAGTAGCCACTGAGGCAAGGTGGGGATAGGGGGTTGGGGGTTCCCCTGGGAGGGGAGACCCAGAGTGAGGGGGTACTGCTGGGGGCCGAACCTCTGGGCAAAGGGCACCAGGGTCTGGGAAGAACATGGGCCAGCGGCAGGCAAGACATCAGCCGGCCTGCAGAGGGCGCTCTGAGCTGGAAAAGAGTTAATTCCCTGGACAACCAGCAGGAGGCACCGCACCAGTGAGTCTCAACCCTGCCACATACCCACATAAACAATAGCTCTTTATTCAACCTGGAGCTTCAAAGGCTCTTAAACAGTAATTCCAATCTTCTGCAATGGAACACTGAGGAGTGGCAGGGAGTGATACACATGCAAGGCTCCAGCCGTTATAATAGAGCAGGGGCCGGCAACGTTTGGCACGCGGCTCGCCAGGGTAAGCACCCTAGCGGGCCAGGCCAGTTTATTTACCTGCTGACGTGGCAGGTTCGGCCGATCGCGGCCCCCACTGGCTGCGGTTCACCGTCCCGGGCCAATGGGGGCGGAGAGAAGCGGCGCGGGCGAGGGATGTGCTGGCCGCGGCTTCCCGCCACCACCATTGGCCCGGGACGGCGAACCGCGGCCAGTGGGGGCTGCGATCAGCCGAACCTGCCGCGACAGCAGGTAAATAAACTGGCCCGGCCCGCCAGGGTGCGGGCGAGCCGCATGCCAAACGTTGCCGACCCCTGTAATAGAGCATGTACTCAGATGGACGTAGAAACAACAATCTCCTTTTACGGGATACACACATGTGTGCCTTGTAATGAGAGCACTAGCATTTTCTTTTCCAATCAGATATTTACATAATTTTTTTCACTTTTAAACACCTTGCCAATTCTAGCCCATCCAAAGTTAAAACCTCTCTGCAAACGTGTGTGAGATGATGAGTTATCTTATGACTATGTTGGTGCATATCAGATCAACTTCATGCCACATCCTGCCTCTTCTGCACCAAAATGTGGGAAGTAACAGGTCATTTGCTTTCACAACACTATTTCTCCTTTACTGGGGGTCCATGGGTCTGAGATCCACACTGACGGACCAGGCAAACTACATCATCATCATTCCCTAAATTTGAGGCTGCTCTACCTTTTTCTACACAGAGCCCTGCATTGGTGGGGCACCTGACTCCATCCATCTAAGGAGTGGTCCAAGGGCAGCCATTGGCAGGAAAAGCCATAGTAATGGTGCTGCTGGGGAGTGTTGCCCCAGAGCCAGTGCAGAGGCACTGAAATTCTACACAGAGCTGTGGGCTCAGTCCTGCAAGGTGGTGTGCACTCCTGTGAGATGTTGTGGAGTCAGTGGGAGTGGAGGCACTTAGTACCTTGAAAGACCGATGGGCCAGATTTTCAAATGTTCTGCATCCACAACTGGGGACAGATTTTTCAAAAGAACTCATGTGCCATATTGGCCCCTAACGTGGGTGCTCATCACGCAATATTGTTTTGAAAATCTGTCTGACACCGTGGCTGCTGAACACTCTTGAAAGTGTGGATCTATGTGGCTTACACAGAATTGCCAAGTGCCTTGAGATCTCTGCACATTCCAGGGGAGCCACTGGTTTTTGGGGACAAAGCTAGAGCTCATTAAATAGCAGCAAATTTAGCCCCACCAAAGAATTTGGAAGAACTGCACAAAGATAATAGAAATTTGCAGGAATTTCTGGCAAAATCCACGTCAATGTTTCCCTTCAAATTTCTGGAATTTAATTATGTTGGGTTTTATTTTTTATCCTACCACTACTACTACACCTTTTAAATACCAGATCTCATTTTTAAACATAAGAAAAGTCATTCACAACTGTGTTGGGCAGTGTGTCTCTTTATTAGACCATGCAAATAGGAGCCAGAGCTCCAGTTTTGTTGATAAGGGCAGGTTCAAGGCTTGTGACCCTATCAAATTGTTTGTGTGACTTGCAAAATTAGTTCATGTATGTGAAGCATTTTTTCTCCTTCTATTTAAACCCATTTTTGTTCCATGTTGGATTGCTGGCAAATTCTCTGTCTATGCTCCACCCTAACTCTTGCTCAACACAGACTTTAAAACATAACTAGGACATTAATAGTTCAACAAGGAAAAGAGCATCTTAAGAAACTGTTATGTGAACCCTAAACAGGCTTAGCAAAGGTATAATACTAACTGCAGAAAAAAGTACAAGCACATAAAGTGTGTATGTATGTGTATATATACATATAAAAAAAACCATGCTATACTGGTACAGGCTTTATCAGTCTAGATAGACTTATTTTTGTGTTCCTTGCTCAAGTTTTCTAATAACTCTCACTCTTTTTATTCAATACAGAGCTTTCCCTCTTTGCTCTTGAGAACGTCTTTGAGTACAGTCACATGACCCACTTTAATAGGTCTACCCTTATTCAGGTGGTCACTTAGATCTCCCAGGCATTTCTTATAAGAAACACAGCAGCCACTCTGTAGGTAATGAATACTAGTCACATAGCATACTTCTGGCTAAGAAAACCCTGAGTTAAGGTAAGCTTTGTAGGAAAACTTCCAAATGTGATTCTAGAGACTGAATGATGATGAGGTGATTTCTCCCCCCCCCCCAAAGTTAAAAAATAAAGGAGCATTACCATGTGCAGATTATGATAAGGCAGCTCTCTCTTCTCATGCAAGGGTGTTGTGATTCTAGGCAGGTCTTGTTTCTTTGTATTAAACAGTGTGTAAGAAGTGGCTCTGTGGAAATTGTACCCAATAAGCAAAATCCTGTAACTATTGATGTTTGGCAAAAGTCTCATTGACTTTAATAGAACTGGGATTGGCCCTGTCTCTTCTTTGGTCATAAATTGGCATTCTCTCTGTACCTGGTGTGATCAGGATTGTTGTTAGCTATTGTGTTATATTAGCCTGTCTTCCTTTCTTTATTTTATTTGGTGGCTAAAACTAATGGGAATCTGAAGGAGGACATGGAGGATATGAGCACAAAAGTGTAATGCTGATTAACAGAGCCTGTTATGTCATACTATGTATCTTACATGTAATTAGCAAGATGTAAACAGTTGTATTTAATAATTGCTTGTTGCATAGTTTGCACTACAGCATGCTCTTTTTCTAAAGTTTTTAGGAAATAAGGCTAATACATAAATGCCTAGAAAATACCATTCTGAGGTATGCATCATAAAAAACAGCACTATATAACTCAATATGTTACATACAATTACACCGATGATTTGTGTATGTTTGTTGTTGGCTCTGAATAACAAAAGCTTTTCAAAATTAAGCAACAACTACTGGCAACTTCATTTTAGTAACAGAGCTTGACATATCACAAGCAAAATTATTGATTCAAAAAATAACACCAAAACCATATAAACAGCATCGTATGTATTAACTGATGTTTTGTTAGAAGTACCAAACTAAAAATGAAGGGGTTTTATCTCTTCTTTTGAAATTGTATGATAAACTCATTTACATTTTCACACAGGTGCCTTGGATTTCAAATACACTTCCTGTTTGTTTGTTTTTTTTATTTTTTTTTTTTTAATTTTAAATGTTTGTATTGATTTATTGCACATTCTATGCAAATAGTCCTATTGGTTTGGGCATGACCTGGTCTGCCAAAATTTGCAAGATGGCGAATTGATGAATTAGAACACAATACAAAAGTGAGGTACTGTATACAGTGTAGATTTTGAAGGCATTAACTGCAACATGAATGAAATAAAGTGAAAATCATGTACTGTGAGATGGTTTTCATAACAGTGCATATGTCTACAGAGCACTACAACAGAGCATCTGATCCATCCTGCAGAGGTGTCATTCAATAATTACTTTTGAGAAATAGAAGATACTTGGGGGAGGGGGGTTCCAGACTTTCACTTCCCAGAGTCTATTAAAGCCACTGGATTATCCTTTAAAAATAACTCCATTAAATGGAGTGCTCCATTCAATCGCATGGCTTTATAGTCTACTCCAAAATATGTTCATTCCCTAAAAAGGAGAAAAGATATATTTTTGGGGGGACAAGGGGGTTGAATTTTGTGACTATTGGAGTTAACAGATTGTAAATGTCTTATGGTATTTTTGGCACACTGTATCTTTTTAAAAAGGTTCTCTCTGACTTTATTCCACTGTGCCATTTCCACTGCTAGCAATTCAAAGAGAAGCAATCTCCATTTCTTGGTGGTA